TGATAAAGAGAAGCGGCAGGCTACGCACGTTTTCACGCGCTGACACTGCCACTTCGCGCACGTACTCCAACGCGTGCTCAATCAAGCTTTCCGTTGAACATTTGGAATTGACAAGGACCAGTATATTGCTGCGTCGAGACAAGTGTTCGAAAAGCAAGCGGGACTGCAAGAAGGTCCTATCCAGAACTCCGTGGTAATCAAGGGAGAGGATATGGGTGACGCCTCCTTGCTCGCCAACCGCGCGATCAATTGCCGCAGCAAGATAAAGTGGATTCTCGTCGCACCGGAGCAAAGACAGTGGCTTGGGCGGTGGACCTGCCGGCTCGACTGGGCGCTGCTTTGGCCTGGCCTTCTGCTTGGGTCTCCGTTCTGGGATCTCAGGACCTGTTGCCGAAATGTGCTGTGCTAGCACGGGTCTAAGGGGAGCAGCAGGGGGTTCAGGAGGAAGCGGTCTACCGGAGCTTAGCCTATCGGAACCACTTAACACACTGAAGTCAGGCTGGTCACGAACAGAAGGCGATCGCGACCTGCGCTCAAGTGAGCTGCCCAAGTGGGAAGATGAAGAAGCTGGCTCGGCGGAGGAAGATGCAGGCTCTGCTCGCTCCGAAGTGTCCAAAGAATCCAAAGAAACCTCGGCCAAATCCTGTAGCGAAACGGGCTCCTGCAACACCGAGTCTGAGTCAGACTCTTCCTCCTCCTCCTCCTTCGGAAGGAGAGGAGTCCCCTTATAGACCACGTACCCAGACGCAGATACCTGTGTAAGCCGCGCGCTTACTCTAAAGAACTTGGAGGCCAATGCCGGCACCTGCCCCGGAGGCTTATGGAACACTTCCTCGGCGAGGTTTGTCAAACTCTCTCGCCAAAGCTGAAGCAGCTTTATATGAAGTGAGCGGCGCTTATTGTTGGCGGCCTTGCCACCTCTAGAAGCGCGGGTGTCGGCTCCAAATGCCGCAGCAAGTCCAAAAAGCTCTTCACGGCGATCCGGTGACAGCATATACGGGTGAGACGAGGAAGCCGATTAACTCCAAGTCCCAATGCAAACCCCCGTGCCGTTAGAGTGGCTTGCAAATTTACCCCCGTGCCGGAACTGTGGCTTGAAGTTGATGTATCCCCCAATGCCGCTACTGTGGCTTGATGTTACCCTTTGCCTGAATCGTTGGCTTAACTGTCCCTATGCCAGAATCGTTGGCTTAACTGATGGCCTATCGGATGATGCAGGTGACTTCGTCGGAAAACCACACTCAACCGACAGTACAACCAACCACAACCAACCAGGATGCGGCCGGTGGCTGTGTGCCAACACGGCAGCAGAGGTGGAAGTGCTTTCGATTGTTCCAGAATCCCAAATCTTATGAGATCAACCGAAACCAGAAATCGAACCTTTGATTCAATCTCAGCTAATCCTTCCAATCACCACGAGGCCTTGCTACCCTGAAGTCGTGAACGGACCTTTGGGCAAGGTGATTGGATTTCGGGTGTTCCGGGTGGCAAGGTGCCGACGCCGGCTGTTCGGGAAGTCAAGGAAGATGTTGAGGATAGCAGGGGCTGTTGGCAGTTGCCGAATCAGCCCTGTACCTAGAGAATGGTCCAAGCTGTCTCCTCGACGCAGCAGGCGGAGGAGAGAGTGCGCGCCTCGACACACGAAGTGGAGACACGAACAACAGCTATGGGAAATAACGAGGAACCTGAAGATAGATTGGTACAAAGGCGGTGTCGTCTATGTACCTTGGATGAGATGCGTGATGAATGCGATACAAGGCAATCGTGAGCTCACCTCTCCTGTAGAAGGAGCGAAGCAAATTACGCACAAGCCTACGCAACCTCACACGGACTCTAACCCAACGCTGGCGCCTGGCCAAGTATGCAGGAAAGAACCTCCTTAGGATGAAGATTCGGATATCGTAATACAGCTCTGTGAAGAAGTAAACCACACGTTCCCAAAGCGTAGGCCAACCCTCAGGCGTGGGCATACACTAATGATTCTGTGGTTCAGCAATGTGGAAAGCTCCCTGTTGGCTGGGTGCCTAAGCAGGGGCAGAGGTTGGCAAGAATGTGAAAGAAGGACAGACTCTACCCGGTGGTTGGCTCTACCTACACGGGGAGTACAGATAACAGTGCAAATATGGAAAGAGATGTGGAATGGCGGGTAGGTCTCTCACAGACCAATGACACTCCGATTTCAAGCTCTACCCTAAGGGAGCAATATGGAAGGTGCTATGGCGTCGGTAGGCTCCTACACTACCTACACCAAGCAAAGCTGAGGCTGTTAACCAGTTAATTGCAGGGCAATCTCTGATTCCAAGACACAGTGATAATAACGCTTCTTTTGTGTCTTGAGCCAAATATCGGTGATAACGTCTTCGAGTGAAACTGCTTCAAGATGATCTACATAAGAAGGGCCTGGGGGCTCGTGATTTCTCAACTACTATTATTATTATTACTAGTGGTTACAGTAGCCGACTGTCAGGAGCCTCCTACCAGGACAATCAAGTCATCACACAACGGAAAACGAAAACTGGGGCCCATGGCCGAAAACAAGCAGATGATGCTTTTGAAGCTGCAAATTTACTGGCACGGTCTTACAAGGAAGTTGAAACCTTTACAAACTAAACCCTGAACCTTATGCCCTAAAGCCGAAAGCCTTTAGCCTAAACCCTGAACCCTATGTGAACCAAACCTTACACCCTGAGCCCCATGAGCTTTTCTGCCTCAACTCGATCGCTGCACTGGCTCATGCCATGTCTGTCACGGTACAGCCTCTTGTGTCTGTAATGGAGATTGCAACACGGATGCAAACCTGGTAGTATATAGTAATGAATTGATAGCAAACAAAGAATAATAACAACAGTACTTACAACAAATATTGACGAAAACAATACAAGTAGTAAGAAAACAGACGATAACGGTCATGAAACCAACAATATCCATATGAGATCAGATCACTGAGCATCCCTTCAAAAGTAGCTGAGTCAACAGGGCCGCTCACAGACGACTTCGCTCTTCCAAGGTGCTTCTCCTGTGTCGTCCGTGGCTCTTGGGATTGTCGTAAACCCCGGAAAGTTGGAAACCGCATTAAGGACAAATAGTGATGGGATTCCATATACATTACTCTTAAGGATTGAGTAATTTAGGGGCCTTAATAAATAGAATAGGGTTTTTGGGGGTTCCTCATTGTAATAATAGTATAATTTACCAATAACATACCATCCAGACAATATCCTGAGCATTAAGGCCCCTACCATAAATCAGCCCAAGTCTCAGAATCCGAGATGCCGCGCTGGCACCACCCTTGGCATCTGCCGCTCGGGCTTGCGCAGTCTCCTGTCAGCTGTGATGCAGAGTACTTAAAGGATCGTGGGACTTAGTAACTAGGGTTCTGATCCTCAGAGTAGTCGATGGAACGGTTGTGCTGTACTGGACTCCTTCTGAAACAGGAAAGCTCTACTAGGCTACAACTACAACTGTAGTCGGTCATGCTTATGCGCAAATGTGCACATTGTGCGATTGTAGGACGATCTTACGAGGTTTGCACGGTGCGGTTACGTACAAGACTGCAAAGTACCATGACTGTTCACTTGGCCGATGCAGGTTTTGGACATAAAACTGCGACTTTTCATGCAACAGCCAGGTGCGATGACAGATTTCGGGCCACAAGCACCAGACTTCACAGCATAAAGTCCTAAGCCCCAAGAGTACCCTGATAGAACCCCTGGAAAATCCTCTTGGCACCCCCCCAAAACAGAACAAGTCCTTCTGCAAGCCGCCGTGAAACTCTCCGGACACCTTTCGAGCTTCATTGGTTTGGGGTTTAGGCTTTCAGGGTTTCGGGTTTAGGGTTTCGGTTTAGGGTTTCGGGTTCAAGGGTTTCGGGTTTGGGGTTTCGGGTTTGGGGTTTAGGGCTTCGGGTTTAGGGCTTCGTTTCTTTGCGGGCCCTTTGGTGCTACCGTTGCGCTTGAACTAAAGATAGTAGTAACCCTCTTGATTGGGGCCTTAACAGTTTAAACAAGGTTTTTGTGCTACATTGCACTTTAGTGTTTTAAGTTTTAACACGGACGACACGGGATATAGTTGCTAAGTCTTGCGACCCGTTTTACTATGGTACATGTACTCCTTGCTGGTTGGGGCCTGTTGGACCTGTCGAGCGGACTGATGACTTTAAACTAAGCCCCAAATCCCAAAAACCTCATCCCTAGATCCAGAAATCCGACACCCTGAATCCCTGAGCCCTATTCCCCAATCCCGAAACCCTGAACGAACCCTCCACTACTCCGTGACACCTTGCCTTCCAGGCAATTCCTTAGCTGCTTTGGAAAAGATCATGTCGTGCATCGGGGCTTCAGCGTTGAGCGTCTGATGCTGAGGGCTTGTGCCGTTGCAGAGTTCGGACATCAGAGGTTGGGTTCGGGCCGGTGGCACACACGGCACAAGCAGTAAACCTCCAAAGGGGGCGAAAGTGAGCGGCTCTTCCACGTTCTTCTAGGCCGAGCTACATCCAAGTTCACACGGCATTCCGGAACCGGGGTGCAAGTACTGAAAACTGATTCGCGTAGCTGCGCATGCGGAATGTCAAAGTGGTCATCCAACTGTGGCGGGGTGTCTCTGAATCCCGTGCTGAGGTGTCTCTGAATCCCACTAGCACATGGGGGAAGCATAGTGCAAGATGCATACAGAAGGTTCCACCAACCACGCTGTCTCGGAAACCTGCCGGTACATGGTTGCTCTGTATCCCGCCCGGAAGCGTGTTGGTCATTGTCCTCTCCTGTAGTGAGTCTCCTGCTGGTCTCTTGGTGGTAATCTGGTGGTTCCGGCAGCATGTGTCGTCCTTGGTTGGTGGTGGTCCTGGTACTCGGTGGTCCGAGGGCCTTGGGCGGTTCTAGTGCTCCCGTCGAGGTCGTCGTGTTCGTGTTCGTGGTCGTCATGGTGGTCAAGCCGCTCTAACACTGGGGCTTAGGCTGAACAAACGGTAGGCATCGTAGACCCGAGCTGATCTTCGGTGAACCTCAACGGATCGCCCTGCCTAAGCCACTGAAAAGCGCAGCCAGGAATCCTTGGTAGGCTGCTGCCTTGCGCCGGGGGTTCCGGACGAGTCGGCCGGGGAGGGCTCCGGTGAGACGACCATGCCTCGCTTCTCAGGGCAGAGAGGTATTGGGCTTAGTGTTTAGGATGGGTTACGGTTTGGGGGTTTAGGGTTGCTGGTTGCTTTTGATTAATGATGACTCGCTTAATGCTATCTTTGGTGTCGGAGACGAAGACGTGGATAAGAGTGCTTTAGAGTATGCTTTTGCTCCGGTATACCGATGACGACGACATCCAGCCAAGCAAGGACGGAGCCCGTGCTAGAGCAATGCAGGTCCCGGAAACGCATGCGGTACAAATTCAGTGGCGATTGACTTCCTCAACCGGACATAACACCAGCTACATCTTGTGGCAGCTAAGAACCGGAGTGTTGGAAAGGGGCACCCTCATGAAATTACTTTTCGGCTTGGTGTCCACATACTTGGCCTCGTTTGGGGCAAGAATCTCCATCTACACCTGTCGAAGTTGCGGCTCGTTGCCGCTCATTGCGGATGCGCGAAAGCAGGAAGGGCAGGGAACACGTGGTCTCCTTGACGAAAATGATGACTCGGGGCTCGGAAGCTAGCATCTGGAGGTCTTCATGGATGCTTCAACGATACTTTTAAAGATGTCGAATCCATATCGACATGCAGCCACAACGTCTCAGGACACGCCCATTTTAGTAGGAAGGGTTTTGTTTTGAGGCAGGCAAGATGCATCAGGGTCGGTCGGCCAGACAGCAAGGTGAGGCAGTATCCCTCTACATCCTGCAGCCAGCGGTCCTGACAGCATGGTCGGTGCTTCTGTTAAGAAGAACCTCGAAGAGCATGATGATACTGAAACTAGAACTCGTAGCCGTAGTTGCAACAAGGCACCGCAACAACAACGACAACAAAAGCAGTCAGTCGTGGCAGAGTGCAACGTAAGTCCACGGCTTGCGAGTTCGTGAACTTCCATCAGCACGGGCAGCAGATCAAACGCACAACTCTGTCCAGTCCTGTCCCAGAGGCATGTCTTTGGCAATGTATGGTTTGCCCATACCTGAGTGTCCAGAAGCAGACTGTGCTGGTCAGATGAACCAGCGACAATATGTCAGCAACGAGGCTAAACTCTAAACCCAAACCCCAAAACCTACCTAAGCGCCAAACTCTAAATCCCAAACCCAAAACCCTACACCCAAAAATCCTGAACTCTAAACCCCAAACCCTAAACTCTAAACTACTCTAATTTTGTGCACACGAGATGCTCAGCCTCTCGAAGTCGATCACGTTAATGTCCGCTTTCCTTACAGGCGCACACGCACACAAACATGTGGAGCTTCCGAAAATAGGGGACCCTGATATAATACCCTAAATAGTAGGATCCTTGTTATCAACACCCCAAATAAGGTACCCCGAATTTTTGGAAACTCTCACATGTGTGGGGGGAGCATGCATCTGAGAGACTTGATCCACACCCCGGAAAAGCTTAGGGTTCAGGGTACCTTACTCAGGGTCCTTAGTTTGTCCTCTGAAAATAGAATCAGGCCAGTGCGCATGCCAACTTGCAGTGCTCCACGATCCTTGAGGCCGAAGAAACTGGCAACCTCCAGGCTGTTCTGCTTGACCACATGCTCCAGGCTCATCTTGGGACCTTTTACACGGTCACGGGCCAGATAGCAAAGCATGTGGGATGCGATCGCAGCATCCTGGAACATGGTTCCATGCGCCCCAGCATCTGCGAAGCCGGGCATGATGTGCGGATGGTTTAACATGGTGCAAGTCATATTGTAACCGCCCCAGTCATATGAACCCAGGAAGGGCTTCCAGACCACCCCGCCGTTGATCATGATGTCCCAGAACACCTCGGCGACGCCCCGGCCTTCCCTTCGAGCGATCGCCACAACACTGTCCTCGGTCACAGGGTTACTAGACTCTGGTCTCCGCGCCTCTTTGACATAGTCACAACACAAGAGCTGCTAATATAGACCCTGCATCTGTGGCTTTCTCAGGCTCGTAGTGCGATGTCCAAGGAAAGTGCTCTTCGAAATCCCCGAAGAAATCTTGCAAGTACTTGTACTGGCCGGGCTGTTCAGAAGTGAAGAAGGCTGTCGTTTCCTCAGCTCGCAGATTTTACAGATCAATGGCGTTGAGATTTAGGTCCCAACTCTCATACAGGCCGACGTCAACATTCCAAGGGATACTGCTGTAAGAAGTTTGCCAGTGGCTAGCCTTAACATCGGCGTGCTTCAGGCAGATGAAGCTTTCCTTCAGTCTTTACTCTCATCTGATGTACGATTTATGGCCAAGGCAACAACCGGCCCGGCAGATGCTTCTACACATATTTCTTCTTAGGGCTCTCGAAGCAGGTCCTATTGGAACCGCTCCGGGCTACAATCTTGAAACTTCTTAGGTCTTAGGCAGCTTCCTACATCACTCCCCTCCTGGCTCCAAATCCTCAAACTTCTTAGGCAGCTTTCTACAGCACTCCGTCCACATCCTGACAAGTTCTGCCCGGCATCTGCGATCATCTTCTCTCGCTTTCCGGATCTTTTGAGTGTATCAATCAAATCCAGACCCGCCTCCTGGCAATGCTTCAGGATGGCCTGGAAGACGGGAGTTGCTGTAAAACTAGCATGTAGATAGATAGGTTGATATGTATATATATATATATATGTTATATACACACACATACATGCATGCAAGCATGCATACATACATACATACATACACACTACACACATATACAAACGAACATACATACATGCACAGCTATACATGTACGTGTGCGTGCGCACGTGTGCGCGTGTGCGCGTGTGTGTGCGTGTGCGCGTGTGCGCGTGTGCGCGTGTGCGCGTGTGCACGTGTGCGCGTGTGCGCGTGTGCGCGTGTGCGCGTGTGCGTGTGTGCGTGTGCGTGTGTGCGTGTGTGCGTGTGCGCGTGTGCGCGTGTGCGCGTGTGGGCGCGTGGGCGTGTGGGCATGTGTGCGCGTGTGTGGGCGTGTGTGCGCGTGTGTGCGTGTGCGTGTGCGTGTGCGTGTGCGTGCGTGTGTGCGTTTGTGCGTGTGTGCACGGGTGCGTGCGGGTGTGTGCGGGTGTGTGTGTGTGGGTGTGTGTGTGTGGGTGTGTGTGGGTGTGTGTGTGTGTGTGTGTGTGTGTGTGTGTGTGTGTGTGTGTGGGTGTGTGTGTGTGTGTGTGTGCGCGTGTATACACACACACACACACATATTTTGCTTCATCCAGAGCACCATCTGTATGGTTCGTTATGTGATTAAAGCCTGTATGAAACCCGTCTTGAAAAAGTGTCTTGCTAAATTCAGATTGGGGTTTGTATATTCCATACTTTCGAAGAGCAGCCTGGAAGGTGCGGCTCATGTGGAACGGATGGGCCCTGGAGTGGAAGGATTGCAGGAGACCTTGTGCACGGGCAATGCACTGGCCCCTAGCCAGGCCACCAGCGTCCTTGATGGGTTCTACCGGGGGTTTAATGCTTTGAGCTTTGGGGCTTTAGGGTTTCAGAACTTGTACAAGGTTTGAGTTACGGGTGTTCACCTTCAATGCATGTAAAGCCTATATAACTCTAGCTGCCTCTAGCTCTTTCAAAGCTTCAATAATGGCCACAGGTCAAAACTTTAAACTCGTGCGATTGCAGCAGCGTTGATGGATTGAATCACGAACAAGGTCGGATGATTTGCGAAGCAGTTGAAGGTTAAAGGAACATCTCGCCCATGTCGACGGGCGATGTCTATGAGCCACTCGAACTCCCCCCGCTGATAAGCGCGAAGCTTCTGAGGATCCATGTTTTCATGGGGAACATCGTCGTATGAGAGGAAATCTGAAGACATCTCAAAGACGCCACCACCACCGTCTGCGATAGCTTGGGCAATAGCTTTCAGCTCGTCTGCACAAGATAACGTGCCAGGCATCAAAGTGCCTCATTTCTGGCACTGAGTGGTTGCGGTCTCAGATCCCCCAACACGATTTCGTGCACATCAACCAAACTCTTCCTCTCCTCTACAGTGCATCCCAAACCTTGTTTCCCAGACCACTACTGAAGCTTCTACAGCCCCAAGCCCAGCTGCCCTCCGGATCACGGTGCATAAGCAACCGTGATGTGGAAAAGCCATGGGCACCGACAGCCACAGCATCGCGAACGAGGGCAGCAATGGCCTCTGGCATTTTGGATGCGAGATTCAGGGTTGAGGACCCACGTGCTCTGTGGTGACAGGAATGAGCCAGAGTTTTCGAATGCCTAAAGCATCGAAGCGCCTGCATGACTCCTTCATTCCATCCCGGTTGTATGAACCCATCTGATGTGAAGCTGTACTGCCGATGGACACAACTCTGCATCACCCGAGCACCTCAAGCTACGAAAAAAGGTACAAACCTTACTGTGGTTCCGAGAAGGATTTGTGAGATTGGCTTAGCGAGCCAAGATTTGAGCAGCACGTGGTGCAACTTGTCTGTATTTGTCAGATGTAAAAGAACATCTTCGCACCAGGAAAAAGCAAAGAAATAGCTGTGATAGTAGAAGGCATGCGCCATGGCACATCCGTTCTGTTGGGCAGGGTCGTACTCATACTCGGGACCTAGTCGCCTCCATATGACTTCCTAGCTTAGGACACCTGCTGACAGTTCGACATTAAGTAACTTCGGCACATCCTAAGCTGAAGACACAAGATGTAACCTACGAAACAGCACGGGTTCTCGGGGCAAGAATACGTAGAATCTACTGCTATGCTTGAAGCAATGGGAGCATGCTTTCAACACCAGTCCTCGATCTCATGATCCTTCAGCGGATGCTCCGCTGCACCTGTAGGGAGACGAGCTTGGTGCTACATTCCAGGCCACCCGCACTAAGGTTTGAATCCCCTGCACCTCCGGGCTTCTCGGACAGGTTTGCCCGATCTCCCATCACCCAGGCGCGCACGGCCGAATGTCCGACGAGCACAGCAACATCGCAAGCCAGAGATGCGCGATCGAGACTGTCCATGTACTCTTCGAAGGTCTCGAAGTCGTAGGTAAGCCCTTCGGCTATGATCCGCTCCGGAACATCTTCGACTGCCTCGACAAGGTGCGCAAGGAACTTCCGCCGGTCTTTTTGACATGGAGCGAAGCCAATGCCACAATTGCCCATGATGCAGGTCGTAACCCCACAGGAAGAGCTGGGACTGAGATAGGGATCCCATGACCACTGCGCATCGTAGTGCGTGTGACCATCGACCCATCCAGGCGTGACTAGTAATCCTCGGGCATCAAACTCCTGCCTTCCCTGAACAGGGAGGTCTTGCCCGATTGCGGAAATCACACCATCCTTGACAGCAATGTCTGCTACGAACTCGGGCTTCCCGGTGCCATCAACCACACGGCCAGAGCGAATCACGAAGTCGGCGTCGCCGAGAGACATATCTGCGACACAAAGCTATGCACAAGGAAGCCGACATGGCTACGGTTGTCAGGTAAAATGGGCACATTAATAATTACAATAGCGTATCGGAGCCCATTTTGCTATAATTGTAATAAGGAACCCCCGAAATGGTATGGGCAATTATTTAGGTCCCTACAGCAGCGCATGTCAATAGAAGGCAAAGGTAGGAACAAGGGCTCTGAGAAGGTGCTCTCCCTCATACGCTGTTAGGGATCTGAAAGCTACCAAGTTACATCATACGTCATGATAGAACGGGTTTAGGCTTTAGGGGTTTAGGAGCAACCGGATGCGGTGGCACCTTGTGGATACCTAATCGGGACTTGTCTTCCTGCTGCTGGAAGCTGGCAGCCCACCTCGGTGACGGCAACGAATGGCAGCACACAGCCGAACGACGTGCCTCTTGCCATAGCACTGCTCTGTTACTACCCATCGAAGCGAAAGACGGCGCTTCTCTTGGAAGTGTGAGCTGCATCCTGTCCATCGCCAGCCAATCCAAGGAGTGGGCACTGGGCTCGTCAGCAGTATGGAGGACGTCTCCCAAATCTGCCCAGGGAAGCTCCAGCGAGGCTAGGGGTTCAAGTCTGGAGGCTTCGGTACCCTTTCATCTGCTTGTTTTCACTGGGTGTGCTCGGAGTTTACGGCCTGCACATGGGTCATCATGGGTGCGAAGTGATTTGGACTCTATGCATGCCCATGCGCCTGCTTCGCGAAAGAAGCCTTTTCAGAGGAGACGCGAAGCAAGAAGGGCCTTGGCACCGTAAACTCCCTAATCCCTCACAGTCTCTCTAAACGCCCTAGATCCTACTCACTTCCCTTATCCCCAATCCCTCAACCGCCTACTCCCCACTACGCTCCCCAATCCCTCATCTCCCTAATCCCCACTGAGATCCTCAATCCCTGAACCCCCCCAAGCTCCTAAATCCCCCTAGGAGCTTTTTACCCTAATCCCTAAACCCTACATCCTCTGCCCAAGGCGTCGAAGCCTTCTTGTATCCCGCTCCCAGAGCTCCGAGTCTCTGGCCAGGCGTCGATGTCGCCAGGGACCTGCAATGTCAAGCTTAGGGCTTAGTTAGGGGCTTAGGGTTCAGTTAGGGGCTTAGGGTTTAGTTAGGGGTTTAAGGGGTTTAGGGGTTTTCGGATTTGGGGGTTGTTAAGCTTAGGGTTTCAGAGGCTTCAGGGTTTAGGGGTGTTTTAGGGTCGTTGGTGTGTAAGACAAGGGCTGATGGCGTTAGGAGTTTCGGGATTTAGCTGGAGGCTTTCTTGGATCAAGCCAAGGCTACTAGGCCTGAAGTCTGAAATACGAGCAGAACCACTTTGGGGAGTCTTGCAGGCGAACATGATAATGAAAGGGGCAGTCGTGATCCGATTTCGTTGTCCAGAAAGCCACCTACTGCTGGTCGCTTCGACTCATGTGTCCTGGGGCTTGGTGGGTTTCGGGTACTATGGCTGAGGGTTAGGGCTCAGGGGGTTTAGGGGCTTAGGGCTTTGATTTACGGCTTTTCGCAGAAACCACGAGAGGAGCCTGATCCAAGAGGGCCGGCGTCTTCTTGACCTGGAAAAGGCTCGGGGAGAGTTCTGCTATTCTCTGACTTTAGAGTTTAGGGGTGAAGGGTTTAGGGTGTCTGACTCGAGCTCTTGCTTTGAGGATGACATCTCCAAAGGCAGCTAACGAGCTCCACAGTGGATATGATCATACCTAGCAGCCTGCAGCATCCGCCTCCGCGATACCCCTCTTGAGCTTCGAGAGGATGCCAGAAAACCTGGAGCTCAAGAGGCCTTTGATCTGAAGGGGGCCTTCATAACTAGAATACGGTTCCTTTGAAGGGGTCTGTAAGGGTTGCTACAAAAGAACTATAAGGGTGCTATAATGCAGGGGACTTAAGAATCGGACAAAGGTTTTGGGGCCCATTGAACCATAAATACAAAAAGGACCCCCAAAATAGTGTTGGTATTGATTTGGGTTTTGGAGGGCTTCAGCCAGAATCGTGGGGCTCCAGGCTTCAAGCAATGAGTTCGGCCCTGCAGGGGCTTAGGAATCTGAGCTTAGTAAGACCCAGCTTCTAATAACTCCAATGCTTACACAGTCATGCAAGTCTCTATGGAGGTGCTCGCTGCTGGCGAGCAATTTTTCAGAGCAAGGGAAATCTCCAAGTCTGCTGACACCAAGAACAGAGCCCACAGTCGGAACCAAAAACCACGAACGTCGAACCGGAACATAGAGATCTTCATGATTACATTCTGGTTTCGGCGTCTACTATGATAGTATGGGTATTCAGGGATAAGGGGAGATACGATTACTACTTCCAAGTTTTCTGAGCGTTCAGGCGCCCATATGATCCCTGAATCCTCACACCGAGCTTCCGACGCCGAGTTGAAATCTCCCTCGTCCGCTGCGGCCACAGCGGCAGCCTTGTGCAGACCCGGGTTTAGGTTTTGGGGCTCAGGGCTTGACGGGTGGAGGGTTCAGGATTTAGGGCATAGAGTTCAGGGTCTACGATTTACAGCTAAAGGGAGTACCATCCGGAGTAGAGCTTGTGGCTGTAATTTGCAGAGTTGCTTGCGGGCTCGCGAGGCTCGGCCAGGCTTGCTCTTAGTCTCTTGAAAGCTCATGCCCCCATGGATTCACTATGCTGGTTTTCGGAAGTTGGGCTTATCACGGCGATGAAGTGGGTGAGAGCCCGTCTGAGGCAGACGACCCAGAATCGCCCACGAGCCCCGGCCCCGGCGGCCTCCTTCAGAGCATCTGCCAGCTTCGCCATGGCTCACAGCTTTGGGGAGGAAAAACTGCACATACCGCGATGGTTGCACGGATGGTTGCACGGTTACGCCAACGTTTAGATGCTAGATGCAGAGTCTGGTTCATTATAAGAGGCTTCTAATTTGGATTGCAGTACGGGTCTTGAGGCCTTACAGAGTCCTTACAGGCTGCAGCCATCTTGGTGGAGGTCCGAAGTCTTGCTGCCACTGCCCCCAGCCCCATCAAGGCATGAAGAATGTGAAGACACATAATGCTTGTGCATGTTTGTGCAAGGGGCTGTGCATCGCTGCACTGCCCTAAGATGCTCGCACGAGCCAGCAGCTTTGCCGAGACAGCCGACATAGCGCGTGGCAGCACGGAGACAATTAACTCGTGTCGCGAAGCTGCAAGACGCTAAAGCAACACGTTCTTCGATCGAGATCGAGTCCTCATACTCCGAAAGTTCCAGAGCGGGTTCGGCACGGGTGTGCCGAACTGGAGGGGCAGCTCAATGTGCGCCTAAGAGCTGGAGCCCGTCCATTAAACAACTACTTGCAAATCTTGAAGCTTCGGCATGTCAAACTTTCCTGCGGCTGTAGATACGTTGCACGAGCTGCTTCACTGAAGATCCACAAAGAATTTTCCGGACATGCCGTGCGGCTCTGCTGCCGCAAGTCTCGTGTAGCTTCGTTGTTTCCAGGCAAGGTACAGCCTGAATTCGAGTCGTCCGCCTTGTCACTGCTATTTAAGCAGCCCTGACCCTTATTGTTTCCCTAGCCTCTGGCTAAGCCCTGAAACCCCGCAGAACATCAAGGCCCACAGGGCAAGCTCAGGCCATCATAAGCTCGAACCCAGGCAGGTCGAGCACATCTAGGCACCGGCTTCACTGTAGCGGTAGGCCACGGCACCATCCACCTGGTGAGCAAAGCAGCAATGACAATCAGGTGAGGGGGCACAAGCACCACCTCCTTCCCTTTCTGTTGCGGATGCCTTCGTCATGTTACATGAAAGACAGAGCGTTGCCACACACACACACATTCTTTCTGGTGTACTGAGTGTACTGTGTGATCTCAGAAATGGTTTAAGTGTAGGTCTCGCGAGATATCGAACACAACATACTACAGAAGGAAAAATTGAAGCTGGACTGCGGATCAGGCCTTGTGGATCTTGGTCGTGAAGGAGCGGAGCTTCACCTCTTCGCTCTCGCCTTGGCCGATGGTCGGGGAGGCTGGCTGCTTGCCGGAGGACATGATGCGCTATTTGGGGCGAACCGTCGTGAGGCTGTGAGGTCTTTTCAAGGTCCTCTCAGGTTTTGTCAGAGCATGTCCGAGGAATTTAGGAATCTAGGTTGGCGCGGCAAGGCAAAAGCAATCGACTGCCAGTCGTCAATAGCATGCTCATCTGAGATGAATTTCAACATTCATCGTTGCAGAAGGCGGCAAGTGAGGGTCGAAGATCGTTCACATGCATCGCGCCGCGAACCTCAAAAAGCACGTCAACTGCTTCTCACCACTTCACAACTGCCAGCAGTTTGCAGCCTGACTGCTGCAGCTTTGCAAGCACCACTACCAGTGCCACTTCCGGGCACTCCTCGCCTGCGGGGCCATTCACAACCACGGCATGGCCCGAAGTGTCTGTGACCCTGCCCCTTCTTGCCAGTCCAGCCACTCCGGCATGCTGCACCAAGTACAGCCCACGCGGTGTGTACAAACCAAGCAGCAGCTCGTCAAAAGAGGCAGCCCAAGCTCGGACTTGGGAAGGAAGCTTTATGCAAGCAAAACGGGCATGCCACCTTCGGTTGCAGGTATCCCAACAAAGACTTGAGGATTTGAATTCTACCCTGACGTTGTCACGCCACCAATCGGCACTACCTCGATATGCACCACGACGCTGCCGCCGAAGTGTACCCACACACTCATAAGAATCTACTTCGCGTTCAAATCGACACCCCGGGTGGCGCAGCTGATCGATGGCAAATGCCATCCTCTGCAAACATGAAGCACGATAGCTTGGGCTGCACCCTGCGAGGGGAATTCCAGTGTACCACTTGGCGGAAAGTCTGCAACTCTCCCGACCGAGCTCCTTCGACACTAGTTTAGTGATGCGGCTGCTGTCAGATCGCTGCGCGGCAAGGTGTTCACAGGCATGTGGTGGCGTCAGCAGTTTTCGTAGAATATCTTGGCGGGCCTCGCTAGCATCAGAGCAGACTCGAGCCGCGCAGACCCTCACAGTCTGGCCGTCGAAAGCTGTTCGCACTCCAGCTTCTGCGACAGCTGCAGCACCATCATGTCGAACCACGTCGACCCATCCAGGAGAGTGGAGGGCCAGTAACAAATCGTCAAAGATAGCTTGCTTAAACTTGATGCTCGTCCAATTGGCAAACCAGCGGTGATGGACAGAATCCCAAGCCACGCTGGTTCCCTTGCACTCAACCCTGCGATCACCATGACTAAAGTCAAACTCAGCTGTATTCTTTCCTCTTCTGCTCCCGTTCGCACAAATGCCAGGCGGCGGCTCTGCGAACGGCACAGAAGGAAACACTTCAGCCAAGGTCTGCCGCACGATCTGCTGGAGCACTCTGCCTTTCCGCGGGCCATGCAGCTCATAGAGCGGATCTTCTGCATATGCGCTCTGCGTAACGGAGGAGGGGTTCTCTTCAAAACTTCCGGGAATCTGAGCCACCGTAAGTGTCA